TGCAGTGTGTTGCCATGGAGAGGACTCAGGCAGCATTACTGGGTCAGCAGGTACTGTACAGCACGGGAGTTTATACAGCACTGGCTGTGTAAGAAGGATGGAAAGGGCCCTCAGGGTTCCAGGAGACTGCAGAAATTCCCCTGGTAGCTTACAGTAAATTTTCTGTGCATTTGGGGACTCGCAGGCTGTGACTGAATCATGTGGCATCTATGTTATGGTACAGTGTCTTTGCAGGGAGGGATCTGCAGGTTCCCAGAGATGGCAGGAGCTGCAAGAAATCTCCAGAGCAGCACAGTGCAGTCTGATCAGAGACACTTAGAGCAGACAGTAGCTCTGGGTGTGAACATCATTGCCTTCAGGAATCTCTACAATTTTTTTGATGGAACCGTAAGTAAAATGCATTGAAATATCCAATTCTGCAAACAGATTGTGCAGGTTTTTTGAGAAATTGTAAGAATCACAGAAAACTTCTGTTACAAGACAGAGTGCCTTCTGTCTGGAAAATATTAGGACTCACAGCACCCATGAGATGTAAGTTGGAGTGACAGCTACCATGAAAAGGGATATGGAATTTATCTACAGCTAACCTAAGATGAAAGGTGTTCTAGTGTTGCATAAAGGCCTGAAGCTCTCAGCTTGCCTACCTGCCTACCATTTTCTGAGAGCAGACAGATCACCTCTGGTTTGCTGAAACAATCCTCCCTGGATTTACTTCCTCTTGAGCAACACAAGGTGAAACTGGTAACAGAAAAAGCAACATCACGGCTTATAGCTGTTACAACATGTCTAAAATCCCTGTCAGGATGGGTCATGCAGACCTGTATGAGCTAGATATGAATTTACTGGTAGAGTTCAGGTCATAAGGAGAAGCTGGTGGTAGTGGTGATAGCACGGATGTATCTCTGGATGCCAGCCTGTCCCCAAAGCCCCTGTGCACGATGTGGTGATGATTGCAGAAAGGAAAGCTTCCCTCTCAGGCAAGAAGCGTTGAGCACTGGCCTAAGCAGGGAGGGCAACAGCTGAGCACTTCCTCTGGGGATATTAATGCTTGCCCTTTCATGGAACTGGGAAAGCAATGCAGGGCAAGTAAATTAGCTGGTGTTTGACAATTGAAAATAAAACAATAACATCCCTTTGCTATGCCACAACAGCCCAGTTTTTCTGTAGGTTTTCCATCTATACCACCCAAAGCCCAAATTCAGACAGTTCCTATAGCTGCTCGTGCACAGACATGCCCCAGTTTAAGGAAGAGCAGAGCAAATTAGTTTTCTTGAAACCTCTGCAGACAAGTGGAGATTTGGCTGCATCCTATGGTTAGCTCCCCAGCTACCTAGCTGCAGGCAATGGCAGCAGGAGCCTCAGGATCAAACTAGGAAACAAGGACAGCTTGACAGCTTGAGGTGGAAGCTGAAAATGGTGCAGAGGCTCCTAGAATGTCTGGATGAAGGTTGCTGAAATTCCCTGATGAGAACAAACTACCACTCTTCCATCAGGGCTCATGCCAGGTGTGGACCGAGTGCACCCAGGATGGCTGTGTAGTGGTCCCTCTACAGTGAAAATAGTGCCTGCTCATGGATCTTACCTTTTCCTTGAAACAGCAGAAATAGCTGTTGCTGGGAGGTAAACATGAAGCCTGTCTTGTCAGCATGTAGAGGAGACAGGTGTATAAGCAGCAAAGCTTGTGAGCAGAGTGGTCCCCTCCCAGGGTCTAATAAATTGCACGCAACCTGGCATTTAACAAAACTTTCACTTGCTGGCTTAATATGGCTTCTTTCAGGAGGGAAAGAAAAATGGCTTTCAGCTTTACCAACACATGTGCTTTGTGCTCCCTTCCTCATTTATTTTCCTGTCTCTTATAAATCATTAAATAATTGTCAAAAATAGCACAGCTTATTTTGGAGGTGATTAAAAAAGAGACTAAATTATCACCATCACTCTCCTACAAACCAAAACATTCCCACTAGCACCCAACAGACAAAGAGCCAAATCTCTTACTCTCCACTGTTTAGTTTACTGTCTGACAAGGTACTTCTGTGCCAGCTGCTCTTCCCCTCAGCTGCACTGAGCTGCTTAAGCAGACACTGCTTTGTAAACACCCAGGAACACAGTGTCCAGCACCAGGGTATTGACAAATTTGTCACCCAGTCTAAAAATATCAACTGATATGTGACCATCCCATTGCCTGGGTACTGCTCAGGCAGGAGGAAATTTCCACCGAGCTCTTGAAAGCGTAAGCTCTGCCAAGCCACTGTGATTTACATAAATAATGAAAAGTTTAATATATCTAGACTGTATTCACTCCTGGAATAACTCTGCTGGCCCTAGAGAGGTAACTAATGGGATGAACTGGGCCCTGTAGGTTTAATGTGCTGAAAGGAAGTGTTATTGTATGCTGTCATACATAGAGATCTAAGTGATTCTAGCTAGCCAGGATGGTATAAGGATACTCACTCCATGTTTACTCATTCATTTAACATTTCCATCTGTAGCTCCTGCCCATTTCTGCTAATGCGCCTTCCTCTCACCCTGCCCCTGTTCTGGGCTCCCAGTGCAGCTTTATTTAACCTTCAGGCCCCCCATTTAAAAATGTTTCAGGGTTTGGGGGCAATGCCCAGAGGTGGTGGCTGGTGCCTTAAAACCTTTATCCTCCATGCAGCATCAGCTGCAGATCAGGAGTCAGGAGAGCTGCCACAGCAGGGGCACAGGGATATCCCTCCACTGCAACCAGGAGAGGTTAATTAGAGGACTACATGAGGATTAGGGAAGATGTGAGTGAGAGGAGGCCAACATGGCCCAGGGCAAATCACATCAGTTCTTTCTGCTTCAGTTTGCCTGTACTTAGGCTGGGGGCAATAACTAGTTTACCTCACAGACAGGTCCCGAGATTAGATGCAGAGAGCTGTGTAAAGCACATAAGAACAAAATAGCACTGGCAGTTTGGTTTTGTAATACAGGATAATTCTTACTGCCAGAGTGGTTTTGTAATGCAGAGGATTCCTTGCTGAATGGCAGGGATGCAGGAGATATGTGCAAAGTTACCAGAGGAAGACTTGGCTCCCCTCAGATTAAAATCTTACAATAACAAGGTAATGTTTCACAGTAAAGATGCATGCTCAAAAAATGGGCTAAGGACAAAGTCAGACCTAGAACCAAATTTTTTTCATATCCTAGTGTTAAGAGGCATGTGGGATGTGGGGCATATTCCATTATGAAGGCTCTGAAGACTGGCCTCCCCAGAGTGCCGGATGCTCTCCATGAAGGGAGAATCTGTTTCCCGGTATCTTGTGTTGGAAGAGTTTTGCAATTTTTTATCTTGTTACAAGTGTTTTCTCTTCAAACCACCACCTAGGAATATCTCACCAAAAAGGAGGGCAGAACTGCTGCCTGCCTAGAAACCAGAAGCATTATGATTTTCTTACTGTGCCTCTGTACTGGCTCTTTAGAGTGGGGGCTACTTACTGGCCAAGGACTTGTGGGGCTGCACTGCCCCAAGCAGTTGTATTAGGGCTCTGTCAGCTCCCACAACATCCCTGTACTGTGCTGGAAAGTAGGTATCTCAGGACTGATTTCCAGAAGGACTGGGCTAAGCCAGTGTCTTCCTCTTCTTCGCCTACAACAGCCTTCTTTTCCAACTATGCAGGCTAAATCCAATCCTAACAAACTATATTCCCTGGGAGCTTGACTCAGCAAAGCATTAGAGCTTACATTTGATTGCTTTGAAGGGGGCCTGTGTGATCTGAGATCACAGAGCACCTCCCAGAGCACCTCTGCTCTCCTGGATGTAGTGGCTGCTCCACTAAACATCAGCACAGTCCCAGGTCCACAGAGCAGAACTATGTGTGAAGAAACAGTCACCATCCATAATTTGCTGCATCTAACTAGCTTTGTATCTCATCCTTACATCTCCCTGAATCTTCTTTAGAACAAAACCAAAAAAGCCAAAAAAAAAAAAAAAAGGCATTTCAACTATTACATTTTTGTCTTTACCAGCAGAAGAATGCCCACATCTGAAAGCAAGTCTTTCTTTGATGCAACAACTGCAGCAATGAGAAGCTGTCCTCAGGTAGGATATGATAAGCCTGGCTGTGTATTGCAAATTCTGTTTCCCACGCCTCCCTTTCCAGCCTTGGCTTAATAATGACATGTAAATCAAACTAAATCTCCTCTCAAACCTGTGAGCACAGCATATTCAGCATTTGTGTAGCAAACAGAATTCCCCTGGCATCGGGAGAAATTTTAGCACAGAATGAGTCTGGAGCTCCATAAGCATCCTAAGAGGAAAATAGTAGGTGTAACCAAGGTAAGAAATCTAATCCTCGCATCCTTCATATTCATGTGGTGAAAGAACTTAGTATAAACTTGCTTAAAATTTACCTTGTAAAATATTAAGTAGTGGTGGTGCAGCTGCTCCTCCTAATAGCTTTTAGACGTATCTGCCAAATTCAACCTTGACAGAGAGAGTGTTTTAGTGATGAATTTTGTGTGAAGAGGAAGCATGCAGGTAAGACTGTTGGCACTCTCTCTGGCACTGAAGGGCTCCAGTTTCAGTGCAGATACCATTAAAAATTAGACAATCCACATAAACAAGAGTTTCTGAACATACAAGATGTGTTCCATTGTGTTGCAAAATTCCTCCAGAGCTCAGCCAAAAGAAACTGCTCCTTAGTCAGTTCTTTTCCGCCATGTTGATTGCTTTGATTTTCAGTTCTCCCCTAACCTGCAGACCAACAGCAAAAACACCAAATAAGCCCCTTCTAAAAGGGACATACTTTTTACGTGTGACCCAGGGTTTAATTTCTGTTCCTACAGAAATCCAGCAGAATTCCTTCTCAAATAAACAGAAGCAAAAGCAGAACCAAGAAATACCTCTCATGCCTCCACCCAAACTGCTGACTTAAATTTTCCATGCTGCAATTTTAAACTCATAAACTCCACTGAATTTCATGGACTTTGGACGTAAACCACTACAGAAATAAAAAATATCCATACACAGTTTAATGTCTTTTGAAAAAAAAAATATTTTTTTCTCAGATTGCACATTCAAAACTTGAGCTGTACACTGCACAGTATAGGAACACTAGTTTGCCAATCCAATTACCATCATGTAGGTTTGTGTTGATTAGTTCAGCTGTAGCCCCAAGGTGTCAAACTCAGTCAGCAGCAAGAGATGTACCCCAGGTGTAATTACAGTCAGTGGCCAAGACATGTCTCCAGGGCTGCAGCGTATTCTCCATCTGGAAATGCCCTTGTCACAGGGAGGTTTGGACAGTCTTCAGGTACACTGCAGCAGAGCTTTAGGGAAAACATGCTGCTCCAGCTAGAGGCTGCCTGCTCATTCACCCACCACCATCTGCCTTCCTTCTACCGTTTCCCAGCTCTCCCCGTTTTCCCTCTGCTAAGTGAACCAAGCAGTGAATTTCAATCACAGTGCAACGACACAGGAAGCAAAAACCCTTAAATCCATGCTGGCAGGCTTTCTCTGCAGCCCCAAAGGCTACAAACCAGATGAAACATTGGCTGTGCTGGAGTCACTGCAGGTTTTATCCCAACTCTAGTGCTGTCAAGGAGCAAGGGCAGTTTTGCACTGGCTGGATTTGGGCCACTGGCCATCTCTTGTAGGTCTTTGCAGCTACAAGGGCACACATAGATCACTGCAGCATAGACAACATGTGGAGAAGTCTATGTTTTTTCAAGGACCTTGTCCAGTGTTGGAGCAGGATTCGTTTCACTGTTCTAATTGCTGCTTTGAGGACGAGGGTGAGGGGATAGCCTCCCTGCTGGAAACAGTAATTCAGCTGTCCTTTCCACAGCTACCAGATTTGGGTGTTAATGCTTTTCACCAAAGGATGTTTTACTTTAATAACCACTCAAATAAATAAATACATAAATAAATAAATATAACTTTGTGCTTTATAAGCAACATTTGTCCGAAGTCTTTGAAGTGCTTTGCTAAGTCGAGTCTTACTATTTCCTGCGAGTCCCAGCAACCCCAAGAGCCCAACTCCACTTCCCTTTGTGCCAATAGGAGCAAGTCCAGTCTCTGAAGACTTGCCTGGCATTACACAGTGAGCCAACGACTGACAGAGCAAACATTGCTCAGGTGCCCTAATTCCTACTTTCATGCTGCTTGCCCTTAACACCACCAATTGTACTGTCTCAGAGACCAAGTCCTATAAAAATAATAATAAAAAATACCTACTTCTTAATTTTCAACACTGTTTGTGTAATGTCTCTGGCCTTGCAGGGCACCAAGGTGCATTTGGTCTATTGTTACTGTTCATTCAACATCTTCTTTAAAGCCTTCTAGGAGGGCTCTGATCTGCTGTTACCTCCTGGGAAATTCTGGTAAGCAATCTATGCATGCGAGACTGCTTATCTGTGCCATACATCAACCCTCTTCTGGTTGTCTCTTCTACTGTGTTGTACGTCAGAGACATCTGCAAAGAAACAAAACCCTGTCTTTTCTTGCTGCTTCTCCTCTGTGCTCCAGGTCTGGCTGCTACCACCAGAGCAACCCAATACAGCATCACGGATGGTGGAGCAGAAAGCTGATGCTGCCCAGAGCCAGAAAAAAGTGCCTGCTTTGGATGTGTGCTTGCAACTCCAATTCAACGAAGAGTAAACGTAAGAAACCTGGAGCAGAACACTGTTGTACTTGAATGCTGTGCGCAGGGCACAGGTAGGCTTTTCACATTTCTGTGTATTTAATTGTAGAAGGACTCAGTTCCCTCTGAACAGTGTTAACTCTTATAAAAAAGACATGATCCTCCTCTAAGAGAATCCGTAATGTACCTTATTTTGTGCATCTACTCTTTCTTGTGCTCTATATAAGAAGACAACTCTTAGCACCAGCGGACAGAAAAATGCTGCCCTGCTCAGCAGATGATAAGAGCTGGGCGAATGTCTCATTGTATGCAGCTCATGAGAACTATAAGGTTGGAAGGGAACTCTGGAGAACATCTGGTCCAACCTCCTGCTCAAGGTAGGGCAAATTAAATAAGGTGGCTGAGGGTCTTCTTAAATTTTGAGAATTCCTGATGGTGGTGATTTCCATTTACAAGTGACCTCTGTATGTCCCCCAAAGTCCAGATTCCATAGGTTCACTCATTTTTATATCTTAATGAACAAGTGGCTTGTGTGGGTGCTTGTCAGTTTGTGAACCGTCCACAAATTTCTCTCCCTTTCTCCATCCTCCAAAAGAAAAGAAGGAATTCTACAGATGTTTGCAAGAGAAACTTGGAAAGGAGAAGGAGAGGTGAGGATACCTGGGAGGGGTAACAGTTACAAACAGCATAAACGGAATTTTGTTTGTGAGCACTTTCAGACAGCTTCAGCCCAGCTCTGATCATGATGTCTACTTGTATGGCCTTGATCTGTGCTTTTCCTAGCTTGGTACTAGCAGCAGCCAAGGGGCACCCAAGGGTGTACGGCTTTCTGTACTCCAGCCTTCCTCACCTTCAGCTCAGCATGGGAGTGCAGCAGCTTTGGAAATGCAGTCCAGTAACTTAAGCCGAAATACTCGTCACTCCAGGCAGAATCAGCTTGGGTGGTTTTGGTTCTTATTCAGCAGGCTCTAGAAGTCATCAACCTCTGTTCGCATTTCCAGCTGGAGAGCGCAGCTGTAGTCACCTCTGGTGAGGACCATCAATCAGTAACTCAAGAGGCTTCAAGCGGACTTTGCAGCTCTCTCCAAAAAAACGCATGTGCTTGAGGGGTGGAGGACACAAAAACTTGGTCCCTCTCTGTAAAGATGACTGAGATCAGTCTTTAAAACACACCCAGAACGAAAAACGTATTTAAAACAGTATGTGAAATAGCTGCCACATTTTTGTGCGGTACCCTGCTCCCCCAAAATATGAAATTAGAGTGGGCGTTGGTTTTCGTTCTTTTTTCAATGCTCATGCCGAGGAGCTTTCTGTCACATCATGATGGACAACCAGCGGTGCATCCTCACTCACCCATGACAAGATCTTTCATTTCTTACTAAGGTGAGCATGCAGTTCTGCTTCGAAGGCCATCTTGTCAAAGGTGCGCATGTTCGTCTCCTCCCGCACCTTTTCCCGGACATGGAAGGATGCTCGAGCAACAGACCTGGCATTTTCTAAGACAGTCTTCTTCTCCTTGAAGATCTGCTCACTTCTCTCCAGCTTCCTCTCTATAGAGAGGAGTATTTCCCTGCGCCTCAAGTCCTCATACTGTTCCACCTTTTGCTTGTTCATCTTCTGCACTTTTTCCTTTTCCAGACGGCTCAAGACCACTTTGCGGGCTTTTTCTTGGACAGCCTCTTCAGCCACCTGGGCAGCATGCTGGAGCTTTCTCTCTCTCTCTCTAGCCAGTGCTTCCAAGTGCTCCCTCTGCTCTCTTTCCTTCCTCTCTGCTGCCAGTTTAGCTCTCTGGATCTGCATGTCCTCACGCCTGGCCTTCTCCCTCAGCTCCTGGTTCCTTTTCTCCACAAGCTGCTCGTAGTTCTCCTGAGCCTTTGTCAAACTCATCTGCAGGGATGCCTTCAGCATTTCCTTCTCTTCTGCCTCTTGCTTGGCCAGTTCCTTCAGCAAGGCCTCATGCTTCAGCTTCTCTGCTTGGTTGAACAGTCTCTTTTCCTTCTGCAGCTGCACCTCCTTCTTCAGCCTCTTCTGTGCAGCTGTGGACAGCTTCTCTTGCAGGAGCTGCTCCTCTCGCTCCTGGTGCTCCTTCTTGACCTCTTCCTTCGCCTTCAGGTTGAGCTCTTGATGGAGTTTTTTCTGCTTGTCCTCCCTGATGGCCCTCTCCAGCCTCTCCCTCCGCAGCCGCTCCTGCTTCTCCGCTTGCTCCCGCCACCTCTCCTCACACACCAGGAGCTGCCTCTGTTTCATCAGGGCGGCTTCCTCCTGCTCCTGGTTCAGTCTCCCTCGCCGCTTCTCCACCTGGCTCTCCCACATCCGCTGTCCCTGCAGGAGGGCCTTCTGCTTCTCCTTCTCCTCCTGCTCCTTCCTCTGCTCAGCCAGGCGCCGCTGGCTGTCCCACTGCAGGTGGGCTGCCTGCCGCTGCTCCCGCAGGAGGTTGGCCTCCTGGTGCTTGGCGATCATCAGTGCCGCGATCTTCTTATCTCTCTCTGGCACCTCTGAGAGACCCTTCTTCCTCTTCACCTCCCTGACGATCCTCTCGACTCTCTGGGCAGTCTGTGGCGAGTGGCTGAGGTCGCCCAGGCTGAAGCTGCGCCCCAGCAGAGTCCCATTGGCGGCGGCCACCCCCCGACCCCGGCCGCACACCTTGCCCCCGCGCTCC